GGGGGGGCGAGGGATGTAAGACAACGCGGGTGCCCTCAAACAGAAATCCATACATGTTAAGGCGGACTAGCATGAGACGTTTTGGTAGTATCGGTAATCTGGATGGCCGATTTCCATAGTATCTGCGCGATGACGGATCCCTTGTTCGCCTTACTAACCACCCCCGCTCGAAAACCATGAAAAAAAACCATCATGCACCACGACATGATCGAATTTCCAAGGACGTCCTAGTAAAACGTGCCAATCATCCATAGGCACGACATTGCACCATACCTCATCCTTATAGGTAGAGCCAATAGAGAAAGACACCAACACACGCCGATCGACAGGGACAACGTTGTCACGCCGTAACCATGCTAGAGCATAAGGATCTGGATGCGGCTTTGTCGACAACCCAAGCTTCTCCACGGCCTCGTCAGATACACGTTCTCGCACGACCCAGAATCAATAACGAAACAACACACCCAGTTGCCCACGGTGCCCGTAGATTCGAAAAGATGCTGACGAAGGACCTCATCAGTGGAAGTGACGTGCGGGGAAAAAAGAGAGCGACGAAGGACAAGCGCGTGTCCTACGTGCCCCGAGACATGCACCTCAGGAACCTTCGGCTCTTTGTCAAAAATAGAAGGGCCATCATATAGCGCAGCTGCCGAATATTCTGCCGTCTCCTCGACAAACAAAGCACGTGACCCGGTCTTTCTTGGACAAGCCGCCTTCCGATGGCCAAGCTCACCGCAACCGAAGCAACGTATCTCGCCACAAGCCCGCTATGTACCGGCAACCGGAGTCGACCCTATTTCGCCGGTTGATTGTGCCAGCCCACTACTGGTCACAGCTCCGCGCCCCATTGCCGGCGCTGAGCCTGAGTACACGACCGTAGCAGGTGGTCCACGTCCGGGCTACACACGAGCACTCATAGATGCATCCGCCCGTGAGGAAGACGCAATGGAAGGACCCATCTTCCGAGTCAACTGTTTCTCAACAACAAGAGCTCGTTGAGGTGCATCTGAAACAGACTCAGGGACAACTAGATTAAGCACATCTTGGATAGCAATATTCAAACCACCCACATCATGAGCAACCAACTGGCCCTTCGTCTCGCGTATCTCCACACGAGTTAAGAGGCGATAAAATTCCTCAGTATACTCGTGAACCGAACACGATTCTTGCCGCAAAGTATGTAACTACTAATAAACCATATGATCATAATTATAAGGCAAAAATTCACGTTCTACGTACTTACGAAACTGCATCCAAGTGGAGATCTCTGGCTTCCACTGGCGTTGCAGCAAACTCGTGAGTTGCATCCACCAAGTCGCCGCCCGTCCACGGAATCGCATGGCGACAAGCGCGACACGCCTGTCACTTGGACCTCCTTAAATTTGAGGACAGACTCAACTGTAGCCCATCAATCGAGGAACTCCGATGCATCTGCTCCTCCTAAAAACTCAAGAATCTCGACCGGAACCCCAATTCCCAATGCGGGTTTCCATGTCCGTCCATCGGTCAGTAAATATCACGTCGGCACAGCCCTGGGCCTGCGTCCGCCCGGTCAAAATCTTTCTACTGTTGTTGTACACCGGCATCGAAATCATGCCCGACACCACCATGGCCCAACCGCGATGGTGTATTTCACCCTCATCGAGAACGGGTTAACCACGTTGATGGTGTCTTCATCTTCCTCATCGTCGGGCGGAGGCTGAGGTGATCGTCGGCAAGGAGCCCCACTATAGCCACGTCCACCGTGTCCCCCGCGAAACCCTCCACGCGTGCCCCGATCACCGGCGTCGTGGTTCGTGTGCACCTCTTCTATCATGGTTCGCATAGCGAGAAATAACTCTTCAATCCCCATGGAAAGGTCCATGAATCGATCATCCAACCCTTGAATCCGATCGTTCATCCAATGGAATCAGTTGTCAATGGTAGCATCGGTTGCAGCGTTTCCTTTCTTTGGCGGCATTGCAGATCGTCGTTGTTCTCTGGATACCAACTGATGTAGAACATGAATAACAACGGGAAAGATATGAGATACTCTCTTTTGAAGAACTCACAATATCAAATAAAACTCAAAATCATTCACCGTCTGCTACAATAAAGAGAGGAATAATATATAATCCTAAACACCTAAAACTCCTAACTTGCAAAACAAGATAACCCTCAATGATAAATATTTTTCTAATCCTAAATTACATAAATAAGGAAATGGAATAATAATAATAAGAATGAAATAATATAATGAATTAAGCAATGTAAATAATCAAATTAATGTCGGAAGACGATTGTATTTGTCCAGAAAAGCAATCTCGAGCTCGTCTCCATCATTATCTAGCTGAATTTACAGCCAATTGGCCGAATAAGCTGAACAACTGACTATAGTAGTGAGGACTACACGTACATCCGAGGACAGCCTAGTTGCACCCCAACATGAGAATGCACCAAACACAGTCCCAACAGGAGAGAAGAAAATTAAACACAAACAGAACAACAAAAACACAAAAAAAAAAAGAAACAAACAAATGCTAAATCGGAAAAAGTCTAAAGCCCTCCCCATCGGGCGGAGCTCTCAGCACCACTGCATCCAGAACCAACACCTAACGTTAACGACTGAGTGAAACCAGGGGTGGGCTATGTTCAGTTATTGTAATTTTTCTTAAGAACCGTTCATTTTTTTTTTTTTTTTTTAGTCTTCATATCGGTTCGCTTAAGGTAAAATTTTTGGCAGGGCTTTAGAATTGAAAACCCAATTTCAGTTCGGTTTTTCTGGATTTTGTGGATAATCGATTTGTAATAAAAAACTTAATTTTACAAAATAACCGAGTATAAAAACAACTAAATAAACATTAAACATTAAACAAGACTACAAAAGTACAAGACAAATAATAACTAACAAGTCAATACACACTTCATTCCTCAAACCACAAATCAGTTACCACACTTCAATACACACTTGACACTTCAATACATTATAAAGTACAACCACAAATCACTCAGTTACCTCACTTCAATGAATATCCACAACAATTCAACAAACACAAGCTGAAAGCACGAAAGATAATTCATAATTATTCAAGTGACAAGTCTTCAAGTCTTCATGTTGATAGTTCCCACAACCACAAGCACACAAATGATAAAACTAAAAATTAAAAACATTACCAAATCCAAATTATCCAAATTTCAACAAATCATAAAGCAAAGCACTGAAGTAGTTAAATAAATTGTTGAGTAAAATGCAATTTTAGTCATGTATATTTCACTACCCTAACTTTTTCGTCCTCTTTGAATTGTATTTTTTTTATTTTCGTCCCGTATATTTACAAAAAGGTTACAAAAAGATCATTTTCGCAACAAAAAGGTCCTTTATTTTTTGCAAAAAAAGGTTTCACTTTCGTTCTTTACGTATGAAAAGGACCTCTTTGTAACCTTTTTGCAAACATACAGGACGAAAATAAAAAACGCAATTCGAAGAGGACGAAAAAGTTAGGGTAGTGAAATATACATGACTAAAATTGTAATTTACTCTGAATTGTTCAAACTTCAAACTGTAATCTTCTAACATCAGTGACACCAAACTGTTTCTTAGATGATTTTCCATCAGCTACTCCTTTGTTAGCCTTTGAAGTTTTGCTTTCATTTTTTTCTTTTCTTCCAGTTTATTCCTTAGTTCTATTTCTTTTTGGTCCAACTCTGTGTGAAGTATAAAACAATAGAACAAAATCAAAACATTAAGAATATAGTATGAAATATGAATGAGTTAAGATTTAAAATCATATCATATTTATAAACTTCACCTTGTTATGTTTTCTCCAACCATTCTATTTCCTCGGGAGTAGGGGTGTATGCAAGGATGGTAATTGCACCTGACTTCAACCATTGTTGTAGGCAAATCAATGCTATAACTGACCTTGGAGTTAATGAACTCCTATGAGAATCAATTACCCTCTTTCAAGTGCTAAAAGAAGC